GAAGATTTATGTCCAAAGTTAAGATTTCAGTGATTCTGGCATTGGGAAGAGGTTGATGGCTCTCGTTCTGCAGAAGAGATAATTCCAGCTAGCTGCGAATTTGCTGGCTCATGATTATTGACCTCATCATTAAAACTCTGCTCACTCTCCAGGCTTGGGATTGCCCAGATACCACCATGATTGCAGTCAGTAGGATGACTTTTAAAACTGTTGTTTTCTAAAAATAAAATATTGTTATTAATATTAATAAATACCAAATTGCAAATACAGTTCACCAGCCACTGCATACTTTAGTGTGATTCTGTATATGTAACAGAAGTGTCACTGAACAAAACAAGATTTGCTGATGACAAAACACACATAAATCTGCACTACACAGATATTTATTTCAAACACATCCCTTGTATGCTAAGACCTTGAAACAACTGTGTCAAATGCAAAATATCCCGTGTATAAAATTCTTTGTAAATCCCATTCATCTGAGAATTCATGGTAAATTAAGAATGCTGCTTTCAGAATCCTTTCTCATACCTGGTTTGGCACAAGTAAATACTTTCTCCCATGCATAGTTCATCAGGTTTACAGGTTGGATCACCCAAGGATCCCGCATGACCATTTCTAGAGTTATCCGATCCTGTGGAAAAGGCTTCAAGAGCCCAGACAGGAGACCCATCAGATCTAAAGAAAGAAAAGACAAACAACTCCATATTAGCCTTCAGCTTGCCTTTCAGTTATTCTACTTTCACTGAATGCAATTGTAAGATGAATATTTTTTACAAATTGAAATCCAGCATACTTCAATATTTTTTTACCCCTTATTACCTTTCTTGGCTTCATTTGTAATTCCTTTTTTCCCCAAGATGGCTTCTATTCAGTAGTGAAAACTACTGCAATAGAATCACGGTTTCAGGATCATCTGCTTTGAATAAGGCACACTGCACCTATGCATATACAGTATAATTTCCAAAGAATTATAATTTCAAATTATAATCCTCTGTGACTACCTGAAATGGACTTCTTTTTTGTTTTAAGATATTGCAATTCATTATTTCATCCAAAGGCCATATGAGAATAAAATGATGCAAGACAAAAGTTATGCGAATGAGTATCACTGAAATGGCATGTCTTCATAACAAAAACCATGATGTATCTGTTTTTTCTCACAGGAAAGTCAACATGGAATACAAATTCAGAACAAAGAATTAGCAGGGCAATAAGAGCTAAGTGCTTCTTATCTTACACTTTTTATATACTTCAGATTCTCCTCCTGAAACTATCTAAGCCAGCCCATTGAATTGGATTAAGAGCCCAAATGACAAGAGCAGACATCCTGCAGTATTGATGTTATTCTGCTATACCAGAGCTGACCAATCAGGTAGTGGCAGCTGATTTTTTTAAATCAGTAATTGCTTCCAAATCTTCATGTTGACAGCCTTAGACCTTACCATGCCAAAACTAAGCCAACACAAAGATATAGGAAGTTCAAACTTGTGTATTGGTAGATATCCAATCTCAGACTGTGTATGAGATAAGCCCAAATGGCTAAATATAAGATGAGCTATGATGCCAAGAAAAGTTAATGTTTAACCTATCTTGGAAAGAAACTGTAAGAAAATTCCTGATAATGAATAACTGGGCCCATGCAGTATGGATAATATTGAGACCCATTCTACATGGGCCTCAATATTCTTTTTTTTCTGAACTGTCCCTCCTTATGCATGGTGTTTTACTATTGTACTGCTATTAACAAACTGTCCAGGACAGCAGACTCCTTTTATCTTCTTGAATTTACCATCTGATATAAGTAACACATCTCCTTCAATGGCTCTAAATACTGCTAAATATTTATAAGTATAAATACATTTAAATAAAAGGGAATAGCTGCTTAATTGTCTGCAAATATACAAAAAAGGCCTAGTATTTTATACTTATTAGATGTTCTTTTATTAGATATTACAGTTTATGTATTATATCTTATTGCTATAAATGGTTGTGGAAATAGCATTGGTCCTCTGTTCCATAATGAAGTGCCTAAGGACGCAAACCTTTCCTCCTTCACTAACAGCGACTGCAATTGCCCACTCAAGGAGTATCAGAACCAATGAAGAACAGTGTTTCAATCCAACTTTCATAGGCAATCTAGAAACGATTGATGGCACTGAACACTATTTAGAGATTAAGCAGAACAAAGGGAATGCACTCCTTCCATCTAAATCCAGATAAGTCACCCCAAAGGGTGACCAATACTATTTTCATCTTAACCCTCTATAATACTACCCTGATGTCCCCAGTGAATTTTGTAGAAACTTCTGGGAGTCCTATTTCTTGAAATGTATGACAGGTATTAAGCAACAAGGATTCCCTCCTCTTACGAGGGTGACGGGTTCAGTTTTTCTATAAATTGCTGAA